GAATGAAAATCGAAATAAAATTATAAAAACTAATCAAGAAAATGCAATTTCATCAGAAAATCTTGTAGATTTTATTTCAATGCTCTTCTGAAAGATTATAACGCTAATTATTTTATTTGAGTAAAAGGGTTTTTATAATTCTGAATTCAGGACGCAACAACAAAACATAATGAACCCAAATAGTAACAAATGGCTTGGTAGTATTAATAAAAATGTCATGCTATTGCATAAACTGAAGGATTATACTCATTTTAAAAGGTAATGAAATATTCCAAATACTTAGAAAAGTAGTTTAAATTTTTGTTTGTATTTTGTTTTGCACAAATTTTTAGTGCTTGATATATTAGTCATATAATGTTCAAAACTTTTTTGAGTGACAATTTTACCCTTGTTTATATTATCGTTATACTGAATACTGACGAAATTAATTACTTAACCGGATCGGCAGAAAAATTATTCAGCTAATTTTTGCCAGGTGTCCCAGAATTTATGATAACAGCTGTAATATATAAATATCCAATCATGCTGAATCATAAACATAATCAAATCAGCCAAAAAATCATTCGGTTAATTTTTTTCAAGTATCCCAGATGAAAACAGCTGTAACTTATTTCGAAAATAAATAGGAGTTTAAAAATTTTTTTTACAGTTTGAAATTCTAAAATCAGGAGCATACGCATATGAAATTTATAAACTTTTTAAAGCAGATAAGGTTTAAAGTTACTCAAATACATCATTTATCTGCTGAATGCACAAATTATTTATGCGACTTGTGTGAAAAATATAGAATGAATGCATGTATTCCATTGCATAATTTCTTTAATATACCTGAAAAGTAAAAATAATTACAAATATAGGCCTAGCGTAATAAGACCTAGTTTAATCAAATTTTTTATAAACTTAAAAAATAAAAAAAAAATTTTAAATTTTTTTTTAAAAAACAATTCTTAAAAACTTTTTTAACTATTTTTTTTTTAAAAAAAAAAAGAAAAAAAAAGTAAATTTAATAAAAAAATGCCGAATGTTATTTAATTTTTATAAATAATCTGCTGGCCCACGATATCGTTGCGATATTGCTGAGTTGTTCATAATTACAATTATTACTATCAATTTTTTGCATACATTAAGTTGCAGAAAAATACAGAAGATTTTCCTTTACTTATTTCTTCAATTTATTAAAATGAATCCATTTAATCCTTATGTCTTAAAATATTCATCTATGCGAGTTTGCTGAGCAGAACTTGACATCATTCTTCTAATAAATTTCTCAAGAAAATTAATTGATTTTAATTGATCACCCGAGTCTTCCTGCTGAAGTAAAAACATCTGAACATTTTCTAAGCTATTCAATGCCGAGTTACCACTAACAATTGCAGGTTCTATACTATCATCTTCCTCTTCATCTATTACCTCAGTATTTCCTTCATCTATAACTTCAACACTTTCATCATTTCTAAACACATAAGCCAGCTCCTTAATGATTTGATCCTCTGGGAGGACTTCGTAAACAATCTCTTCACCATTAAAATTTAAGAATTCATCAATTTCTATCACATTTGAAAGACAGAGAGTATCCAGTGACCTAATAAGACCTTCAAGCCTTGAATCGCCAGCTTTATGAAGATCATCTGAAAGATTTGCACTAGACGGAAAAATTTTTGTATGATGTTAGCAATTACGTATAGTTATAGCCGAAACCTCCCCCAACCCTTTATGATATACAAGATTGCTTGTAAAACATCCATTTTCAAATCCTGAACAAGATTATCTGCTTCAACTTGCTCCAACATCCATCTAATATTTTTTTAAAAAATTTTTTTTTAAAATCTGGATCCAATAGACTACTGTATCATAATAAATTAAAGAGCAAAATTTAATACCAATATCCAGCCCTGTTTCACTGATAGTCTGCTTCACTGACAACTTTATTATTAAGGATTGTATTATGTAATCGGCTGCCACTGAATAGACTATTAGTGAAATGGGACTACTGGAATTGTAGCAAATTAAACAAAGAATAAAATAATAATAAAACGAAGAATGAGTAAAACAATCAAAAAAAAAAAAAATAGAGATAAAATATACAGTACAATAACTTACTGGAGATGAAAACGATGATAGGCTCTTTTAAAAGCCATGATAATTCCTGCGTCTATGGGTTGTATTCTAGAAGTTGTATTTTTGGATAAAAAATGTACATCTATATACCGGAGGGTTAGCTCATCTAACTTATGACTAGAACAATTGTTAAAAAGTAAAAGAACATGCTGGCCCGAATGCTTTTGCAACATTTGGTGGTCGAAATCCTGAAGCCACTCTTAAAAAAGAACTACAAGCATCCAAGCCTTAGTGTTGCTTCTATATGTCATGAGCAAGTTATTAATTCTCACATTTTTGAAACATTGGGGTTTGGCATATTTGCCAATTATAAGAGGAGCCAACTTATAGGATCCATTGGCATTCGCATATAACGCCACAGAAATACGTTCCTTATTTTTTTTGCACCCTGCAATTCGTCGAGTCGCTAAGGTTCGATCTGGTTCCAATTTAGAAAGAAAATTTTTTATTAAAAAAAAAAAAAAAGAAAAAAAAATTTTATCAAAAAAAAAAAACTACTGGTAAAAAAGCCCAGTTTCGTCCATGTTATATATGTGGTCAAGAGGGTATTCAGAGCATTTACTTTGCAATAAAGGTAGGGATTCAGTAATAACATCCTCATCAACAGAACCTGCTTCTTCATAAAGCTTTATTTGACAGATTCTATTTCACTCTTTAAATTTTTGGAGCACCCGGAAGAAAAATGTAACTTGCCTTCAGGGACTCCAAGTTCATCCGCTAACAATTTTGCTTTTTCGATCATTATGGCATCACTTAAAATAGTGCGGTGTTGATAGATTAATATGAATTCCTTGAGTGCTAGCTCAAGCTCTGGTACAGTAACAGTTCTATGTCGCTTGGCTTCTGGATTTATGATTTCATTTAAAAGTCATTGGTCCTTAGTTTGTAAGATTCGAGTGATCGTAGACTCATTAACTTTAACCCCTCATTTATCTTCAATCCACTTTACATATTCCAGACAGGTTCTTTTGTTATCACGGGCATAGACACAGAATTCAAATTTTTGATTATCTGTTAGAGTTGTTCTTTTAGGCATTGCCAAAAATATTATATAAAATTTTTTTTTTTTTTTTTTTTTTTAGAAGAATGCTAAAGCTTTATTTATTGAAATTTAGAAATTACTAAAGCACCTAAATCACTATTAAAATATGTCTTCATTTTTTTTTTTTTGATTTTTTTGTTTAATTGTTAAAAAGTCCATTGAAAGAGTTAATCAAAAAGGTTATGGATTGAACAGATTTTTATAGTTAGAATAAATTTCTTGTGCTAGTTTTTAAGATATAAGTTTAATCAATCCAGATTTATTACAGTATATAGTGATAGGGACTGGGTCTTGTTATATGCCGGCAATAAACTTACAGGCATCTCCTAAATTGGCATAATGAAAAACTACACTTTTTGTATGGCGATGGGTTACTTATTTCAAATAAGTATGATGATGGATTACTCAGTTCAGATAAGTATCCATAGCAATAGCAGAATCAAATAGTTTGAGGATTGAACATAAAACTTTTTTTTTATTTGATTCTCCTTTTATATAGGTCCAATACTAAAGTTTATTTGACGATCCTTATAAAAAGTCAAATT